CTAGTTGCCTAGTGCAGCTCCACTAAAACCCATTCCTTACTCTCTCCTCTGCCTGGATCCCCCCGGGACCACTGTGAAGCGACTACTTCGGGGGGTGGCTGTGCTCATGCACTTGTCGTACTCTCAGTGCTAGCTGGCGTTGCTAGATCGCTGCTCTTCTCTCCATTTACGCTGCAGCTCTGACATAATCTGTGTGACTGCCCTGCTGACGGCATTCCAAGAGTCCTCCTCTCGACACATTTCATCAACGACATTCTCCACGTTAAGGACGGGCATCTCCGTTCGCACTGCCTCGAACCTTGGACAGTCAAAGACCACATGCTCCGGCGTTTCATCGACGTTGCCACACTCCGGACAGAGGGGTGACGCTGCGTGTCCGAACCGATGCAGGTATTTCCTGAAGCAGCCGTGGCCCGACAGGAACTGCGTTAGGTGGAAATTGACTTCTCCGTGTTTTCTGTTCACCCAGGTCGAAAGAATCGGTATTAGTCTATGTGTCCATCTACCGTTCTCCGTCGTGTTCCACTCCTGTTGCCACTTAGCCAATGACTCCACTCTTCCAACTTTCCGTACTCTTCCGGCTTCTCTCTGCCTGTAGCACTCACTGTCCTCCGCCAGGGTGATGCCGATAGGGATCATACCGGCGATAACGCATACTGCTTCCGACGAGATGGTTCTGTACGCACTCACGACTCGCATGGCCATGAACCGGAACGTACTGCTCAGTTTCCTTTGGTTCTGCTTCGTTTCCAGCGCTGGAACCCAGGCTGGACCTCCATATCTCAGTATCGATGATGACACGCTGGCCAGAAGACGCCTCTTGCTACTGCTGGGACCAGCGTTGTTCGGCATGATTCTAGCTATCGCGTTGATGGCCTTCGAAGCCTTCTCACAGGCATATTCGACGTGGCTGTTGAAGTTTAGCCGGTCATCGATCATCACTCCCAGGTATTTTAACACACGCTTCGAGGTTATGGTGTGCTCCCCGACGGTGATTTCCGCCCGCTGTACCGCTTTACAGTTACTGACCAATAACACTTCCGTTTTGTGGTGGGCTATTTGCAGCTTCGCTCCTTTCATCCAGTTACCAATCATGTCGATTGCCTCGGTTGACAACACTTCCACCTCTTCCAGCGTCTCGCCTGTTACCGTCAAGACGACGTCGTCCGCAAAGCCAACGATCTCAACTCCTTTGGGCAGTTTCAGCGTTAGCACGCCGTTGTACATCCCGTTCCAGAGCGTTGGACCAAGGATGGAGCCTTGGTGTGTGTGTGTGTGTGTGTGTGTGTGTGTGTGTGTGTGTGTGTGTGTGTGTGTGTGTGTGTGTGTGTGTGTGTGTGTGTGTGTGTGTGTGTGTGTGTGTGTGTGTGTGTGTGTGTGTGTGTGTGTGTGTGTGTGTGTGTGTGTGTGTGTGTGTGTGTGTGTGTGTGTGTGTGTGTGTGTGTGTGTGTGTGTGTGTGTGTCTATGTGTGTGTGTGTGTGTGTGTGTGTGTGTGTGTGTGTGTGTGTGTGTGTGTGTGTGTGTGTGTGTGTGTGTGTGTGTGTGTGTGTGTGTGTGTGTGTGTGTGTGTGTGTGTGTGTGTTTATGTGTGTGTGTGTGTGTGTGTGTGTGTGTGTGTGCGTGTACAATCTAGCCCCCGAAAATCTAACCGCTCGAAACTGCACCCGCACTATAGGTTAATCATCCTGTCGCAAAAAAGCCATGCAGGAGACGGATTCTTCATCGCCTTTAACTGGTTTAGCGCATTGGTCACAGGCGGAAGTCATGCTGACTCAGTTTCCAAAAGTGATTTAGAAACAGCGGTGGAGATGCTCTAATACGCAAAGAGGAATTGGATTCTCAAGAGCGCCCAATGCTAGACAGTATAAATTCAAAACAACCCAAAATTAAGTTCTTTTCACTCATCTCCCATGTTCCGTACAATAAGCCAAATTTGGGTAAACCGGCTCAAAGTAGTTTGCATTTAAGCACGGCAAAAAAAATTACCCATCGCTAAGTTATTTTCAATTTTTTCTACCCAAAATTAAGTTCAATTAACTCAAATTTGGGTATATCGCATATTACTCAATTTTGGCTTCTTGTACGGAACTAGACGGTTGAGTCGAATCTTTGGTTCTATTTTTGACAACAATAGCGAGAGGAAATGAAACGGACAGAGGTCAAATAACTCAAATTTGAGTTTAAAAAACCCAAGCGGTGGGTAGTTTTGATTTTCTGTGTACACTACAATATGTCTGATTGGATAACTTTTTCACTGTTTTCACAACACAAAATATGCTCTAATTAGACGATTATCGCAACGAACTGCACTTTCCACTAACAACCAGTACAATATTACAGGTATACCGAACGGAAAAAAACGAATAACGATAGCCCGTGTGATAAAAAATCGACAAATTTAGCAGCGCACAATCACGACGATGTGAATAACAACAACTGTCAAATGTTCCTCTCCCTGGGCCTTCCTTCCTTCGCCGAACCCATAACCTGAAGGAACTACGTGGACAGGACGGGGCAATAATGAACCGGCCGAGACTTAACGAACAAAAGAATGTTTTATTAAAGCAAACTTGAATTCCTCACATCGAGCTCTTGAATTGGAATGACAGCGAAAAATAACAGGAGTGACCAGGTCAGGTAATCCAACGACTACTTTGATTTCAGTTTTAAACTCCTCCAAAAGTCTGGACTTACCTGCAGTTACGGGAACTGCCCTTCAGATTTCTGAAATTCGCCAAATCTCTAGATATAGCTTTTCGGTGGTACTTGGAACTTCTTAAAAATTTACACAGTTTTTCTGAAATGCTCTCCACATATCTGAATTTCTTTTGACTTAAGTTAAAATCTCTGAATATTCCTGAAATTGCAAGAACTTCTTACAAGTTCCTGCAGCTTTTTGAAGCTAGTGGAACCGCCTTGAAGTGTGTAATGCTTCCATGAAGTTGAAGTTTACCGAACGTTCAGCTGCTGTGATTTCGGTAAAATTTCACAGATTTCGGTAAAATAATCTTAGTGTGTATAATACGATGAAAATAGCATCTTTCCCGCCGTCTTCTCATCAATTTGGTGGAAATGGAACCTTTTTTGAACATCGACAGCCAATACACAGCTGAGTTGTTTGATCATTTAGCAGAGAATTACTCATAATCAGCTGTAGTGTGAACGCCGATCTCGTTGCAATGCTGCAATGCAAGTTATTTTTATATCAATCCATACATTTTGATTTCGCCCTAATCATTTCAAACGACTTTCAAACCGCATCAAAAATTTACCCGCGAGACACTTTGACATTCAGCATGACAAAGGGCTACCCATCGAACACGGAGTAGCTCGGCTGAACCTGAACCAAACCTAACGACGATCTTCGGAAACCACGGAAACAGTCACAACCATAACAACAAACAACGGAAGAGAGGAGCCATAAATTTAGTCCCCGTCTTTAGGTTACCCTATACCTACCATCCGCGCACGAGACAATAACTTCCAACAATTGTGAAATAAATTTATGGTTTATCAAATTGTCATCAAATTACTACCATTTCTTGTTTCGTCGTTTGCTACCTACCGAAATAAAACGAATCTCAACGAAATAGGAAAAGAGTCCCATCGCTGGGGATGGAATGCACTGCAACTATCGCCGGCTCGGCGCATCAGCGGCCACGCTGAGGTAGAATTAATAATAAATAAACACTTAATCATACATAATTGAACGAGTAAAACATTGTTAAAAAAATTTAATTCTGCAATAAATCTCCGACCGCAGCAGCAGCAGCAGCTCAGCGCGGTTCACATCGGGCGGTGTCGGTGTGTGTGTGGTGAGGAGAAAACGAGAATCCAAGCAGGCCGCTGCGAGCGAGCGGGATAACGAGATGCCAACGGGAAAAGCAAACATTGGTTTATTGTTATTGTTGGTGTTGTTTTGTTTATGCTGGGGATTTCATTCGCTCAATCGCTCGCTACCCGCGTGATGATAGTCTTGAATGGGTTAATTGGATTTTTTGGATTTGCGTGACTTAGAAAAAAAAATAAGAAGAAGGTTACCTTTCTTCCGTTATTGTGTGCGAGTAAACAGAGCTTCTTTTGTTGTCGTTGTCATTGAATTTGACATTTCCTTCGACCGTATTCGATCTATCCCGCCGAGGGGGGGAAGAAATAGTTTTATGACGGTGGTATCTCGAATAGTATCACAACAAATCCGGGGAAAAAAAGAGCGACGGTTGCTGCGATGATCTCGCGCGCTGGTCAATATTTGACAAGTCATTACCGCGGGCGTTTCTTTTGTTTCGTTTGCGCAGCACCTCCCTGACAGCTCCGATGCTGCTTGGTCGGCGGTTTCGGTAAACAATAGCGGCTAAGCGTTCTTTCATTGTCTTGTTGTGCGCGCGCCGTGTGGCTTTTTTCCGCAGTGTGATAGGGATAGGATGAAGGCTAAAATTTGAATAAATTCTTCCCACGCTACGAAACTGGATCCCGTTCGCCGAATTGGCCTTGCGCATTCCGCGGATGGCCAGACTTCTGCCGAATTCCGGTAAATCAATGCTGGAGGATTTCTAATATCCAGTACACCCTCTAATTAACCACAAGGTTCTTGGTCGTAATGGTAGCGATCGGAAATTCCCAACCAACCAATTGAAGCAGGCGGCGAACCTTCGAATCTCCAAAACAAGAAGATTGTCGTACCGTGCCCACTGCGATGTTGTTGACTTTTTTTGTAGTGGGCTGTGAGCAGAAGCCCCCTTCCGAGGATCGTCGACAAACAAATATGGCGGCTAAATTCGTTTGTAGTGCACATAACCAAAAAAACAGTGATACTCGAGCGTGCATGAGGGGTGCTTCACCTTGTTGTCTCACTCTCACTGTGTCACGTGATCGAGCATAAGGCGTCAAAACACACTTGACTTTCTCGAGAGTGCCCCCTCTTGACAGTTTTTTTGTGTCATAGCTTAATGGTATCGTTGATTTGTCTGCTAATTCTTTTCTTTTTGTTTTTTTTTTTCAGATGCCGCCCCGGATGGCGGGGGCCTCTTTGCAACGAGTGTATGGTCTACCCGGGCTGTCGCCATGGCTACTGCAACGGTAGCGCCTGGCAGTGCATCTGTGATACCAACTGGGGTGGAATCCTGTGCGATCAAGGTACGTCATGACTTTCAAAATGTCTCCAATCTGACAAAAACACAGTTAATGCATCAATTAAGTCACAACCGCAACCGGTGGCGGTAGTAAAAAAAATCGAAGCCGATTGCTAATTAACAGATTAATAAGATTCAATTTTGGCATAATAAAAAGATAAATTACAGTTTAAAGCATTTCACCGCGAGCAGCGCGGTTTTGCATTCTCTTTTCTTTTTGCGGTTCGCCTTCTCTGATTTCCAGTCGGCTGGTGCTGCATAATTTATTAATCGCAAACTCATTAAGCTAAAAAATTGGATCAATTTCGATTGCTTTTCTGTTTTTGTTTTTTTTTTTTTTTTTTTTTGGTGAATGGTGCAGTGCACTGCCGCCTACTGCGATTGCTTCTGCTGCACGTTGTCGGTCAACAATTAAATCCAGCGATAGGCGGCGCTGCTTACCCTTCCCAAGCTGTCAGTTTCTCCCGTCTCTCGAGCAGATACGTGTGTGTGTGTGTGTGTGTGTGTGTGTGTGTGTGGCAGAGGCAATTACCGCTATTATTTCCCTGAAAAAGACAAGATGTGAGCATGCGGTAAAACAAAGGAGGGAAATTGAGCGATTAAGCAGCAGTCGCTTAATTTCGATAAATCGATTAATGAGTCTCCTTTGAAAATGGGCTTGGCAAGGTTTATCGTTTAATTTTCTCCAAGTCGAAATTAACCGAAAAGTCGGTGCTGCAGAACCGAAAGTAAAAGGGAGAACGAGAAAGGCAAATAAAATTTGATACAGATTGCAGAATAAAAACGACGCTGGAATAAAAGGAAAGGGATTTATGGCGGCGCGGAGTTGTAACTTTAACCCTACCGCGCGCTGATGGTTCTTTTGTGAGTTTTGTCATCGCATGTCAACCGCAGTCGTCAGAGTCGACCTGGGCCGGTATCGATTACAAGATGAATAAATCACACCAGCGCGCCAGTGCATTTTCCTTCATTGCCATTTTACCCCGGCATCCGCATTGTCAGCAAGAATGGGTGTAAGAGATACACGGCCTCCTGCGAGCGTCTGTCCGAGCTGTCATTCTGGGTGATGACTTTCCACATGCGCCTGCAGGCAGGCAGTTAGGGTTACAACAGCCCTGCGAACGAGCACAATAAAACAGTAAATTTCATCATGCAGCCATTAATCGGTGGCCGTAATAAAAGTCTGTCTATTGCGGCGAGAGATTTGTATCGATTGATCGCCTTTTACCCCATTTTGATTCATATAACACTCGTGAGCGGGCGAGCAAGGCGAGTGAGGAAGACGAAGGAAATTAACTGATTACTGTGGATCATCATCGAAGCAAGCCATGCAGTTCCGATCCGATCACATCACCATGGTAACGTGCAACGATTGGAACGGGGGGATGGGTAGGGCTTTTGATTGTTATTATAAATTTTGGTGTGTAACGATCCGATATGGTCTTGCGCATCCGGTGAAATTTAATGGGATCGTATGGTTTTTTTTTGTTGCTTCGGTCCTTGGTGCTTGGCTAGTGTGGCTTTAATCCGGGGGTGGTGAGGTTAATTGTTGGACCTCCTGAATGCTCTGAATGGGTAGATTGGCTTTTCTTTTTTTTTCTGTTTTACTGCGCGGTCTGAAAGCGGATCGAGGTATTCCGGTCCTTGGTCCAATGTTGTTCAACGGAAGACTGCATGTTGAGGTTATGAACTCATATTTCGCCGGTCAAACACAGAAGGTGGTACTCCATTCTGCAACTCATAGGAAACGATTTTTGGCTTTTGCCACTTTTAGTCTCTGCAACAAGTTTTAACTTCTGTTTTTACAACGTTTATGAAACCAATATCGGATTTTGCAACTTATTAGGGATTTTATTGGATAGGATAATTTGTTATTCTATTCTCAGTCTGCTGTTGAAACGACGATTTCTTACGTTCCCGACGTTTTAGCCGTAGGGTTTTGGCTTTTATCAAGGATAACTATTTTCGGCTTGTTAAACTTTTAAGGATCGATGTTTTACTTTTCCAGCTTATTAAGAACGATTTACGGTTTCTCGAACTTTTATTAAATTATATTTTTACACAATTGCTTAAACCACTTAAGGGAGTCTTATAACCCGTTCACATTACAGCCTATATCACGTAATATAGGCTGTCTTGCAATCCCAAGTTACAATTTTGATTTTATGAGGGTTCTGGAGACCATAATTTAGGCTTGTAGCATGCTTTAAAACCACTATAAAACCTTAAATGTTACTTGGAATGAGCACTCATACATAGGATTTCCAGTGAAAACTAGATGTATGAGTGCTCATTGCAAGACAGCGTATATCACGTGATATACGCTGTAATGTGAACGGGGTATTAACAGATGATTGTAAATCAAACACCCTTTGAACAGTTTCTGTAGCAAAAACACTTCTAGACCCGTATCGAGAATCGTGGGTTTTTAGGTGATATCTTGCTAAGTTCACAGATTGCCGTTTTGACGGTTGAATTGCCCCGTTTATAGAGTTTCGCGAATCTCGAACACTACACTGAGGCAAATAAACATATGAATTCCATAAGAACGACTTACAGTGTATCTCAAAATTTAGCGTACACATGTCCTCAAATTTTAGAAAAATCAGTTTTAAAAGAACAATTTAAAGAGATCAGTTTCTGAATTTCTGGCTGCTGAATCATCATAAATTTATCAATTAATGGTACAGTGTTGGGCTTATTTGGTTGCGTTTATTTTAGTCTTGATAAAGGTCATTCATATTCCACTAATTTTACTAAAATTCGTCCACTAGGTAAAAAGTTGAAAATCGTGCGTTTTATTAAAATAAATCTAACTTCGTACAGGTTATTAAGGTTATAAAGTCCAAAACTAAAACGATAAATCAATAAACTTCTGTTCAACCACCAGCCAAGATTTAAAAAATATATCTATTCAGAATATTTCAAAAAATGTTCCACTAGGGTGTACGCTCAATTACGATGCGATACAATGTATGATTTTTCGCCACATTATGGAAATTATAACTATGACCAATGAAACACAATTCATTAGTCAAAACAATGAAATTCATCTGTTTTATAAAATTGAGCAGATTGGATTCAAACCTTGAGTGGTTAGATAATTGAGCCCGTGATTTGCACTCACGTCTATCAACGCTTGGGAAATCGAATAGGCTAAAGACGTATGTGATAATCATTCGTAAGTCGTGTTTATGGAATTCATAAGTGTTTTATGAAATCAAAATTGTCCATGTTCATAACCCAAGTAACAATTTTGGTTTTATGAGGGTTCTGTAGACCATGATTTTGACTTGTAGCATGCTTTAAACCCACCATAAAACTTACAATGTTACTTGGCAAGTCATGCCTTTCGGAATATTTAAGCTTATTTGCCTCCTCAAAAGGTGCTATTTGCGTTGATCGATTCTCTCCATGGACTTTCTCTTTAGGTTAATAACTCAGCTGCAAAACTATTCCCTGTTGTATTTGACGTTTTGAACGCTAGATAAGAACGTCCCAAGTAACATTGCAAGCTTTATAGAGGTTTTATAGCATTCTACAAGTCTAATTCATGGTCGATAGAACACCCTCATTGACGGAGTTGACCAATGATGCCAGGAATGTAAAATATTTTTTTCTATTTTAATTTGGATTTTATTCGGAGTTTCTACCGCAGCTTAGAAGCTTGTACATCATTTTGGTTAAACCCAACAAAAAAAAAAAACATAAACAAACAACAATATCCATCGCTTAAAACACGTAGTGCACTCAATTTTTCAACTTTCCTTTCGCAAACATAAACAATTAACAACGCCACTGACGTCTACATTGATTCCGGCATCACTGCCAGCCAGATTGATGCGATCCCTCTGTCCTTTTCATTCCACGATTGCTACTGTCAAATTGACCCGTCAGAAACTGGTTCGGACAGCAAATTGGCTTGAAATCGCTACCCGATTGTCAAGTCCCGTCCCAGATTAAACCATGTGGTAAAAATAGCGCGAAATGTGTTTGCATAGCAGTGGTTATCAAAAGAGCAAGTCGATGAAGAGAATCGATGGAAGCAGTTAGGACCTTTTGAAATGTTCTACGAGATTCGTGATTTTAAAATCATAATGAAATCCATCAGAAATAAGACCTCCGTTCACGCAGAGACCCCACAAGGAATGTTGCTTGAAAGTCGTCTTTTCCCAAGTGACAATTTGGGTTCTGTGAGGGTTCTGTAGACCATGATTTAGACTTGTAGAATGCTTTAAAACCTCAATAAAACTTGCAATGATACTTGGGTGTGTATAGAACGACGCTGAAAGTACATTTAAAGATAAATGTTATCAAATACAGTGGAGGACTTACGGTGCATTCTTAAGCAGTAAAGGCCCAAACGGAATGTGGGCGGAAGCGGAACGAAACCGGATAGTTTGACAGTTGTCACAAACGACATCAAACCGTCTAACCGAAGTCGAACTAGTTTTCAATCCGACAAGTAGGCTTATCGACTCATCAACTCATGAACCGGGGACCAACGGCTTTACTTCCCTTGCGAAGGAAGACGTGATCAGAGATGGTATGCCTCAGAACATCCCGGCGACGCCGACTTGGATTTAACCCAGGCCTACTGGGGTGAGAGGCAATCACGCTTATCACTACACCACCGGTACCGCTGTGGGTTATAGATATACAGATAGATATTATAGAAGACCTACAGTCTCGAAGAGACCCTTCACAGACCTCCTACAGAGACCCTTCACAGTAAGCAGGGCTTCAAAAAAAAAAATTACCATAATCTAGAGACGCTGCAGTTTCTGGGAGAAAGACTCCTAGAAGAATTCTTTACCCTTATAGGGAAATCTGCTTCATAAGCAATTCAAAATACGCTTCCAACAGATTCTCCGGAAAATCTTACTTTGATGCCTGTTGTTTGGTCATAGGGCGAATCATCTTAATTAAAAAAATCATACAAATTCTGAATGAGCTTCAGTGAAGACCTCTTCATGGGCTTAACAAACTTTTTAGAACCTTAAC